TATGTGGTTAGACATTTTTGTAATATGTTTGTGTTTTCCTGAGGAGATGGTCCATAGATTTTTGTCAAATTTTTAAAGACTTGTAATACACAGAATAGCTAAAGGAGGCTATTCTTGCATTGCTATAAAGAAATATTGAGACTGAGCAATTTATTTAAAAAAGATGTTTAATTGGCTCATGTTTCTGCAGGCTTTGCAGGAAGCATGGTGTTGACATATGCTCTGCCTCTGGTGAGGTATCAAGGGAACTTACAATCATGACAGAGGTGAAATGGGAGCACGCATTACAAATGGGAAAGCAGTAGCAAAAAAAGGAGAGTGTGGTAGGAGGTGCCACATGCTTTCCAATGACCAAATCCCATTTGTATTCACAGCAAGAGCTCACTTATCACTAAGGGATGACCCAAGCCATTCAGGAGGGATTTGCACCCATGATCCAAACACCTCCTGCCAAGTACCACCTCCAACATTGAGGATTACATTTCCACATGAGATGTGGGTGTGGACCGATACTTATCTAATTATTTAGTGCAATGAATGTTGTAATAAGGATAAAAAGCAAGATCTTTAGGAGATTAGCGTAGAGTTGGAGGCCTACATAACATGTTCAAGTTTCTATATAGGACTCATTTGATATAGACACTTGGGCCAAGTTTACCCTGTTCCATGCCACATCTCTCACATGCAATGCAGTAACTGGTATGTAGTGATGATTTTATCAGTGAGAATCCTGATAGTAATAGGTGAATTTTTTTTTTGAAGATAGTTTATTGAAGGGACTATTTGCAGAGGTGTGACCATGGTTTAAGATAACTAAGAAAGGATGATGAATCACCTAGATACTAGCAACACTTGGAAATTGTTATCTATCCAGGTGACAGGACAAGGATGGAAACCATGTTCCAAAGCTCAGTGAGAGTTGTAGGCAGAAAGAAGAGCCACCCCAACAGGAGCGGTGGCCAAACAAGAAACAAGACAGGGAAGAAACGGGGAATAAATTATGCCATTATTTCTCTTTCCTTCCACTGTTTCTTTTTCTGCTGATTCTTCCTCTCACTGGTGAAACCCAACCAGAAGTTAAAGGGCAAGTTATTCCCTAGAAATAAGGCGAGGCAGAGATGCAGAGCAAGGCAGATAAAACTAGAAAACGGATCTGGGGAGAGACAAATGGAAAATAATCAACAGAGTACATGATACTTATTTGTTGAATTAAATCAAATTTTTATTGTTAATCACAATTTAGCCTTACATATTGTTAAAATAAAGTGAAAAATGAGCAAATGCCTGATGGTTTCATGTTTTCTTATATACCTTTAATCCTTGAAATAAAAATCTCTTTGAAATTGTAGGGGCAACTATTTCTGTGATTTTGAATGGTTGAAATAGTAAAATGATGCAATAATTATTAATCTATAAAAATTCAATATTACAATAGCTTACCTTTTTAAGACTTTTTATTTTTCAAATGTGTATTTATCAAAATGTGAAAAATTGGAGTAGTTAACCTAGGAAAGACCAGTTCATTTTCCAGAGGCTACCTCAAAAACACTTTCTGAATCTTCTCTTACTCATACATATTTAAGTGTTATAGAACTTTGTTTGAACTTCTGTTATAATACTCTTATTAAATAGTAGTTATTTTTATTGATAATTTTTATTATCATTATTATTATTATTTTGGAGATAGAGTCTTGCTCTATCCCCCAGGCTCGAATGCAGTGGCGTGATCTTGGCTCACTGTAACCTCCACCCCCTGGGTTCAAGCGATTCCCATGCCTCAGCCTCCTGAGTAGCTGGGATTACAGGCACCCACTACTATGCCCGGCTAATTTTCATACTTTTAGTAGAGACGAGGTTTCACCATGTTGGCCAGGCTGGTCTGAAACTCCTGACCTCAGGTGATCTGCCCACCATGGCCTCCCAAAGTGCTGTGACTACAGACATGAGCCACAGCGCCCAACCTTTAATTTATTATTATTATTATTTTTATTTATTTATTTATTTTTTTGAGACGGAGTTTCGCTCTTGTTACCCAGGCTGGAGTGCAATGGCGCGATCTCGGCTCACCGCAACCTCTGCCTCCTGGGTTCAGGCAATTCTCCTGCCTCAGCCTCCTGAGCAGCTGAGACTACAGGCACGCGCCACCATGCCCAGCTAATTTTTTGTATTTTTAGTAGAGACGGGGTTTCACCATGTTGACCAGGATGACCTTGATCTCTTGACCTCGTGATCCACCTGCCTCAGCCTCCCAAAGTGCTGGGATTACAGGCTTGAGCCACCGCACCCGGCCTAATTTATTTTTTGAGAGAGTCTGGCTCTGTCGTTCAGGCTGGAGTGCAGTGGCATCATCTCAACTCCCTGCAACCTCCACCTCCCAGGTTCAAGTGATTCTCATGCCTCAGCCTCCTGAGTAGCTGAGATTACAGGTGCACGCCACCACGCCCAGCTAATTTTTGTATTTTTAGTAGAGATGGGGTTTCACCATGTTGGCCAGACTAGTCTTGAACTTCTGACCTCAGGTGATCTGCCCTCTGTGGCCTCCCAAAGTGCTGGGATTACAGGCGTGAGCCTCTGCACCCAGCTTTTACTGATAATATTGAAAGCAGTTCACATTTACTGATTGTTTTGACATTTCCCAAGTCACTGTGCTAAATCCTTTATGTGTATTCTTACGTTTTATCCTCACATAACCCTGTGAGGTGTGGATACTGTTGCAATGCCCTTGGGAAGCATCATTGGACAAAACAAGTTCCGTAAAGGCCACAGATATTTGCATTCTGATATTAATATTCTGTGCTATTCTATTGTTGGTATTCTCTTGTTCCGCTTGAAATTGAGCACGTTTTTGTATGTTTATTAGCCATTTAGTTGTGTGTGTGTTTTGTGAAATTACCAATTTAGTCTTTTGCCCATTTTCCATTTGGCTGTCTGTCTTTTTATTATTAATTTGGAGGAAGTCTGTATGTATATTTGAATATGTGCCCTTAGCTATGTGTTGTGACTTCCGCCATTCTATGGCAGATTCAGGCTGAGATATTAAGAGCAGGTGGGATTTGGGTAGGCAAATATGAGTGTTTCTAATGAGAAAACAATAAACACAATTATAAGGGAAGAAGATATAATTCACATATGAAATAGTTGAATTGTTTGATTGGACTGAGGGTCCTTAAAGTGAACCAATGGAAGGTCAGGCCAGAGAGCTCAAAATATATAGCTTCCCATTTTCAGGGAAGCCCTAGAAAATGGCAAAAAGATACCTCAACAGAACATTATTTTCTTTAAATACGTCTTCTATTCAGGAATAACTCTGTTTCAGGCAGGCTAGACAACCAGAAAAGAACCCTGAAGATCGTTTGCCTCTCTGGTAGGTAGCTCTGTGCATTCTCTTCTGTGCTAGGGAATGAATCTTCTTTTACTGAAATGGCCCTGCTCTCATTTCCTTGTGAAAAGGCGTGACTTAAAGCTGGAACTGATGGGGAGAGAAGCCTAGAGGAATGTCCTTCATCTTGTCTTCAGGCTCTAGATTTCTCAGAGTTTTGCATATTAAAGTTAGAGTACCTTCACGCAGCCACCCTTGCTGACCTGGTATTTCTCCTTATAGAGTCATTCCTTGGAGGTTGGGACTTTGATTTCCTATGATTTGGTTTGTGTATTTCCTTACAGAACTTGAAGGCCAATGGCCGAATGGCTTTTTGGTTTTAGCATCCCTTTAGTCTCAGCCTCCATCTTACTATGTCTGCACCAATGAAGAAGTATATTCATTCTGTTCCCTAGGGAGATTATGCTAGTGTTTTAAAAGCCTTTGCTGACCCTTACGGATTTGCCTGTCTCGCTACTTATCAGACAAAAATGTTTCTTTGGTTTCACTTCTTAATTTTATATCCATTAGAATTTGTTTTGGCTCCAAGTGCCTAAAACCCAAAAATACAGTGGCTTAGGAAGATAGGACTTTTCTTTTTATCTCATGTATTAATAAATAGAGACAATTCAGGGGTGACAAGGCAACTCCATGATTGTCTGGAATAGTGTCTTTTCATCTCATTGTTCTTCTTTCTTTATCCAAGAGCTCCAGGAATAATGTATGCATTCCAGCCATCAGGAAGGAGAAATGGAAAAGGCGAAGGACATCTCCCTACCACCCCGTAGGACTTCTCCGAACTTGCATCCACTACTGTGGTTATATCTTATGAGCCAACGCTTAGTTAACTTAGCCACATCTAAGTCTTAAGCAGGCTTGGAAAAATATGTCAGGCTAAAAATAGGAATTCCTGATCCTATTGAAAAAAAGGAGAATGGATATTGAGGATAACCGTTGATGTTTGCCACATAAATTTTTTGTTATTGTGACATTAATATTTTCCTGAGATGTTTTAAGGAGGAAAGCTTAGAATAATATAGATATACAGCCAATTTAAAATCGATTTTCATCAGAATTAGCTTATGTCTCTAGATTCTGACATTCTGAATTTTGGGCCCTTATTTTAAAATCTTTACTCTAGGGTAGACGTTAACCAACTCTTGATTTATTATTATTATTATTTTTGTTAAGTTTGGAAGCTTTACTTCATTCCTAAACATTAATGTCAGATTTCATGAAATTTTTAAATATAGCAAATGCTGTTGAACATTGCAAATGTAAAATATGGAGGAGGAAATATGTGCCTTTTATCTTTATAGAAGATAAATATATTAAACCCACTATTAAAAATAGTCTAAGAAAAAATTTTAGCAATCGGTAATATAAAAGCTCTTGGTTAGAATGGATTCAAATATATGGAAATTAAATGAAAATCTAGAATCATTTCAGTTCACTGAGAATTAGCTGATATAGTGAGCAGCAGATATAATCTCATAGACACTGCATATTTTTTAAAGTCCTATTCTTCACAGTAGAGCTTGAAGAAAATGTAGTATTGTAACATAATTATTATTAAAAACGATTTACTTTTAAAGCCCAGCATGTTACATCATAAGTAATATTCATTTTTTTTCTTCCATAGTCAAGAAGTTTGATAACTGTAGGACTGGGTGTTGCAGCCCTTGTATTTGCAGGTAAGATAAAGAATATATACCAATAAATTGCAGGAGAAATATTTCCAAACAGCATCTACAGTGATTCATGAGTAGACCCGTAGTGTTCTGAGGTTTTGGTTTTTAGGCATTATACATTCTCATTCTTTCCACCATTTGTAGTTACTGAACATTTGTCATTGTAGCAAAATCTAGATAAACTTTATGGGAAGAAAATTAGTGATACAAAAGCCAGGAAAACTAGCTCCAATAATAGTTTATCTTCCTGGCATTTTTTTTTTTCAGTTTGAGGTATAGTATACTATAAAAAATCTTTAGTATTATGTAATATAAGTGGTATGGGGTTCCTTATTCTCCCATATTTGTTTATTCTTGCAAATAGGTTTATGCATTTTAAGCTGTCAGTTTTTTCTCATGAGCATACTTGTTCCCTGTAGTTTATTTTTTTATTTGTCTCTCAACATATTGGTATAATTACCTTGATAAACCCAGGAGACTTTTTTCACTGCTAAAATTACCTTTCTCGATAGAATAGTTCTAAAGATCTAAAGTAAATTTGCTTAGTCTGTCATTAACTTATAGTAGTTTAAAATTAGCTATTTCCTAATTAAATGTTAATTTGATAATATTTCCTTATTGATAAAGATTTACTTTTTTGTTTTAGCATTTGCGTTTGTAAGCTCTATCGATTTGATCTTGTTAATTGGATCTTCTTTTAGGCGAAGTTGCATTCCATTGTGGCTATATGGAGTTTAGTAAGATCTAATAGAAAAGTGAGAAAAAAAGAGGGTCTTGTTTTATATGGTATTTAATTTCTCATGATTATCATTTAAACCACTTTATTATAATCTTTTGTCTTGCAAGTGAAGAAACACCTGAACAATCAGAATTTTAAAATCTAGATCAGTGGTTCAGATTCTCTTGATCTTTTTGTCATTAGGGTCTTATGTCTCAATTACATAACTTATACTTCACTAGTTTCTGAGGTTTCATGAGAAGAATATCATGTCTCAAAAGAAGTTCTGACAAACTTGCCCCTAACCATAAAGGAATTTTAGTATTAATTATTAGAGTAGAGTAGGCATATTCATAGAGTTATGAATTCAAATGCAAGATTTTGATTTGAAATTAGATAAAGATGTATTTTTTCCAGGGTTGTCTTTCTAAAATGACAACAGTTGGTGTGTGTATTCTATGTAGAACACAGTTTCCAAACTCATATTACTGACTAGAATATTATATTAAATAATAGCAAAATCTCTTCCAGAGCCAAATACAACCAAATAACAGAATTTAGGAGAAAGTACACTTAGATTTGTTGGAACTAGGTCCTCCAGTTACAGTAAACCACCACATGTCACTTCTTAAAGCATTTAACTGCTTTTTAACCGAGACTAGAAGTCAGTCACTATGGTTTTGAAGAATTTTGAGGTAATAATAAAAACTACATTTCATACTATTGTAAAATCAAATGGAAGATGTCATCTGTGTGATAAGACATACAGGCAAGTTAGGGAATCAGCCTCATTTAATTTCACTTTAGTGTTCTTCTTTATGTCAAGAGCTTTTTAATCTTCACATTTTCCCATTTCTGGCATCTGTCTTTCATGTAATGTGTTTGCACAGAAATAACAGTATATATAGGCAGGTAAATTTTTCTAAAAGATCTAGGTAGTTGAATTTTTGCAGTACAACTCTTGATTTGCAAATAGGCTTATGGTTAGCAGTTTAAAGCCTGTAGTGTCATATATTGTTTTTCTAGCAAGACTGTTGGAGAAAGAGATACTAGAAGATACAATCTGATTGGGGTGCAAAAGATAAATTAACTAGATAATATTTTACTCTTGTTTAATGCCCTCAAAATAATTTAGAACCTGTTTTACTATTGGCTCTTAGTTGTCAAGACTCAGGGGAGTTTTGATTGTTAGGATTTCTAACTAAGGAAAGAGCTAAAAATAAATTTTTAGAGAGAGTAGCCATCCTCAGTGAGAAAAATTGATAATTAACATACTTGGTAATTATTTCATTCATAATTGCCTTTTTACTTTAGAGATAATTCTATTAAGATCATATGTGGAGTGTAGATCATAAATAGAATTTGTTTTCTATATATTTCAAAGTGATTATCACCATAAAAAGCAATACAATTAATCATTTTAGTATTATAAGTGTCTTTATACATAATAGGAGTTTACAGTTTGTTGTAGAAAGAATACTAGGATCTTTTTTTGTGACCTGTACCATAATACAAATGTAAGATATTATACATAAGCATTGAAAATTTCTACTTTTATTATCATAAACTAGAAGTTGATAAATTTAATGGCTATGATAATGGTATTAACATGAAATTCTGCCCTCTAGTAAGTTATAAATTTGAAAAAAATGACATCTTTTTGGTAAGTTCTGAAATATTTATTGAAATAACCTATATAAACTATCAATAAATACCATGACAAGCACTTTGAAGGTAATGATTGATTTTGATTATAGGAAATATATTTGCTTTTATTCCTTTTACCACTTAGGTCGCTATACATTTCGGATCTGGAAACCTCTAGACCAAGTTATCACAGAAACTGCAAAGAAGATTGTAAGTTGAACGTGGCTTTAGTTAGAAAACTCATTTTGATTTGTGTTGAATTAACTTAGAAAATGGCTTGGATTTTCCAATGTATGTAGCTATTTATTTCCTTCAATATCATTGATGAGTTTGTCTAACTTACTGGCTCAGTTTCTTTTAAGTTTTTGGTCACATTATTTTTATATCTAACTTTATTCTTTGTTTTGACATCTAATTATTATAATCTGTTTAGTGGTATTATATCAACTTTGATGTAGCTTAATTTCCCTGTTTAGTTACTGTTCATTTATTCAGTAAACATTTAGTGAGTCCTGATCCCTGTGCCGGGAGCTTGGAATAGCTGATAAACAAAGAAGACATGGTTCTTGTCCTGATGGAGCTTACCCAAGAGTTGATGCCAACTTGAAATTTGAAACTAGTCCCCTTATAGCATCATGCCTGGTCATCTCAAACATAAAATTACAAGATTCCAACCATGAAATGCTATAGAACTAATTATACATTCTTGTACTGGCATTATAGCTATTCTTGGGAGCTGAAAATAAATGAAAAAGTGAATGGTAGTATGTATCCGTAACAGCAACAGTATGAATTGTAGTTTGCAACCACTGAAGACAATATAAAGAAAAGTCAATGAAACCCTGTAGCATAAACATTGGCTTCAGGGAAATAGAAGCAGATTTGGGATAGATCAACTTGGTTGAGATTTGAAATTCTCAAATTGCTACAAACCAGCAAACTATTTCTACAAATAGTTGATTATCAGCTATTCTAAGCTCCTGGCACAGAGATGAAGAATCACTAAACGTTTGTTAAATAAATGAACAGTAATTAAACAGGGAAAGTAAGTTATATCAAAGTTGACATACTACTACTAAATGTAAAACTACTTACTTTATGTTATTTCATTACATATTTCAAAACCTACCAGAGAGACTGCCATTTTTTTTTCAAATTTATAATTTATTGGAGGACAGAATGTCATGTTAATACCGTTATCACAGCCATTAAATTTATCACATTCTAGTTCATGATCATAAAACTAAAAATTTTCAATGTTTATGTATAATATCTTACATTTGTATTATGGTGTAGGTCACCAAAAAGTGAATGGCTTGTGAGGCTTAGCCATGAACAGTGATAGCACCAAAAGATAACATACTGACAAATAATTAAACTTAGATTTAAAAAAAAAAAAAAAAAAAACAGCAAGTGATTTTACAGTCTTATAAATGCATATCTGTGATTAGAGAGAACATAGGCATATTTTCTGTCTTCCTATTTATATTTTATTTGGCTAAAATAGTGGCAGGTATTGAGTAAATATTCATTGAGCACCTAGTACTTGCTAGCTAGACAGTATCATAGATAGTGGGATATATTTATGGACCAACGACATTGCTCTCTAAGAGCTTACATGTTAGTGGAGAGACACAGTTAAGAAAAATGTAGTAAGTTATATAATACCCAGAAGTGTCGCATGCTTTTGAGAGAGCCAAATCAGGGTAAGAGTCTTAAGAGTAACAACAATGAGGAATCTTTACATTAGATAGGCCAGGTAAGGTTTCTCCAGGAAGATAAGGGAGCAGGCCATGTGAGCATCTGGTGTAAGAGCTTTAGGTGGTGGGATCACTGCAAAGGTCCTGAGGTGCAAATGAGCCTAGCAGCAAGAGTAACTCCAAGGACTGTATGAAGGGAATAGTGGCAGCTTGGGCCCAGATCCCTTAGTGCCTAATAGACAATTAAAAAAAAAAAAAAACAAAAAAAACAACTTCAGATTTTACCTTAAGCATGATATGATAGAAAGCCCTTGGAAGGTTTTTTGTTTGTTTTTGGTTTGGTTTTTTTTTTGACATGGAGCCTCACTCTGCTGCCCAGGCTGGAATGCACTGGCTCAGTCTCAGCTCCCTGCACCCTCTGCCTCCCAGGTTCAAGCGATTCTCCTGCCTCAGCCTCCCAAGGAGCTGGGATTACAGGCAACCATCACTATGCTGGGCTAATTTTTTGTATTTTTAGTAGAGACAGGGTTTCACCATGTTAGGCTGGTCTCAAACTCCTGACCTCAGGCGATTCACCTGCCTCAACCTCCCAAAGTGCTGGGATTACAGGTGTGAGCCACCGTGCCTGTCCCCTTAGAAGGTTTTGAGCATCGAGGCAATGCGATTTGCATTTTAGGTTCTAACTCTGCTTTGCTACCTAGATCATAAACTAGAATGAGCCAGAGTAGAAGCTGTGAAACCGGTAAGAGGGTATTGAGATAGTTCAAGTGGCAGATGATGATGGCTTGAAATAGGGTAGTAGCAATGGACACAGTAACATAGTTCTTTAAATGAATTCTATTTATGTCTTTCCATATGTTTATTATTTATTATTTATAAACATATGGAAAGACATAAATTTCAGAAGAATTTCAGAAGTCGTTTCTCTTCTGTTATGGTGATCTTCAGTGTATGGTAGTAAATAGAAAATTATCAAGCTTTGCAGAACTATATAATTTCACATTGTAAAGAAAGAGAGAGCAAGAAAATGAGGAAATCTTCAGTACTTGGTAGAGGCAGCTCACAGATAAGGCAGGGTAATTCAAGAGATTATAAGGGATACACTCATGTAAACTCTTTCTTCAGTGGCTCTTATGGCCTGCTCCCTCATCTTCTAACAGGGGCCTTACTTGTCCTATTTAATCTAAAGATTAAATGGTACCTGCATATCTTAAAGGAAAGAGAAATGATGTGTAACCCCCTTTCCCTCTCCTTTGTGGGCCTCAAGATAAGAAACCTGGCTTTCAATAAATCTGGCTCCTTTTTCACAAAGTGCTACTCTTAGAGTTTTCAGTAAAACATCTTAGAATATCTTTATTATCATCATCATTATTAAATTTTTACCTCAGTAAAGATGCAAATATTTTTAAACAATTTTTAAAATAGTAGTCATCCTAGGGAAGCTGAGAAATGAAGTATGTGCATACTTTCTCTTGGTGTTGATGAATCCTAATGTCATACCTCATAAACACAGCATATACAGTGTTTTGATTTCATAAATATTATTCATTATTCAACCAAATAAGGTTACTAAAAAGACAGGAACTGCAATTGTGTGTCACTAAATCTGTTATTCAAAGGAGACTGTCCAAGGCTCAAGTTTCAATGGAGTTTCATTTCATTGTTTTTTTAAACTTCGTTTCCTCTAAGCTTTAACATCTTGTTCTTAAATCTTATCTTTCTCTTTTTCATATTTTTTTTCATTTTGCTGAAATAGTGCCTAGAATAATTTTTTATATGAAATGCATGGATGGTAAATGTTTTTTCTTTGTTAAACAGTTTGTTTCCTTTGTTTTCACTGTTGTCAGCTGCTAGCTCCTTGAAATCTGGTGGAGCCAACATTAGAGAAGTATAAAAATCTCTGCTGAGATTAAGCCTCAGTGCCTGCACTCCTTCGTTCCTGTATACTCACAGCTAGATTTTTTGGTGGTCTTCTTACTATTTTTATTCCATTTGTAGACAACCTGTTGTTTTCATTTTCTTTTGTTGTTTGGGTTTTGGGTTTTAGGTATGGTAGCAGGTTTTTTTAGCTCTGAAAATTTATAGGATTTTCTCTTCCTTATTGATGTTCTGGAATTTCATAAGAATTCTTAGCCCTAATTTACTTGAAAATGGTCTTTAGTTCTCTAAGATTTTCTTACAGTTTTTTCTTTTATTATTTCTTCCCTTCATTGTGTCTCTTCTCTGCTTCTAGAACTCTGAATAGAAAGATATTAGACTAAATAAAAAGATGTCTATTCCCTGTGTCTCTTGCCATTTTATTTCTTATTTTCTATCTCCTTATCTTTCTTTGTTCTTCATTTAGGGCTCTTCATTCTATAGTATTTTCACAGTTTATTTTCCAGATCACCAGACTGGCCTTTAGCAATGTTTATTCTGTTATTCAGTTTATCCACTGACTTCTTCACATCAGTAATTTTTTTTCTTTTTTTTGAGACAGAGTCTTGCTCTGTCACCAAGGCTGTGGTGCAGTGGCGCAATCTCGGCTCGCTGCACCCTTTGCCTCCTGAGTTCAAGTGATTCTCCTACCTCAGCTTCCTAAGTAGTTGGGGTTACAGGCACTTGCCACTGTGCCCAGTGAATTTTTGTATTTTTAGTGGAGATGGAGTTTCACCATGTTGGCCAGGGCTGTCTCGAGCTTCTGACCTCGAGATCAGCCCACCTCAGCCTCCTAAAGTGCTGGGGTTACAGACGTGAGCCACTGTGCCTGGTCCACGTTAGTAATGTTCTAAATTCTAAGGATTCTTTCTTGTTTCTTTAAACAAGAAAAATAGCAACTCATTTTTTAATTAATTTGATATCCTTTTGAATATTTCTAAAGCGATTAATTAGAATTTGGCCAAATTCTCTTCTGCTTCCTAATTTATCTCCTTTTCCTAAAGCCAGTTGTTATTTGTTCATATTGGTTCTTTTTTTCCTCTCCATGTTATTGGGTTTACTCAAATGTCCAGTGACCCTTGGTTGTTGATTTATATTTATTATAACTAAACTGACTAGTAGAGGTAATGTTCTTGACTTTCTTCAACAGTTTGGTAGGGTTGGTTCAACAGCTTAATTGAATGAGAGTGTTGACAGTGGGCTGTAAGTAACATAGGTGGGTTTGTTAACAGGCATGCCTTTCAAAGCAAGGAGACTAGAGGCAGGATTGGTACCTGGAGAGTTCAAGAGAGGTTGAGCACTGTATACATTTTACTCCTTGGCATAGCTTCCCACCTCCGTAGACTTCTGGGTTCTGAAATGGGGCCTGCTGGTATGCCCCTTTGTGTCTTGTAGTACCTACCACCCAGAGTAAGATACATATCAGAGTAAGAGGCATATGGTTCTCTTTCTCAGCCTGAGGGTAAAGTGACAGGTGCCAGGCCTCTTATGTGCTATATTGGTAGAGGAGGAATGATCTATTTATGCTGCTCTGGTTTAATAAGTTATGCTGATTTTTTATTGTTGTTATCGGCTCTGAATTTAGTGTTCTTG